TTGGAATAACTAACAAGCCAATGCTTTTATCGTCCCATAGGTTCGTGTTGTGTTTTAATAGACAGTGATACATACAATTCCTTGTGTGTAAAATGTCACATGATACGGGATTCTTCCACTACTGCACACAGCTTCACTCGATGTTGGAATGTAAGGTGTGCTAATGTTTCATCGAATCTCACTTTGAAAGATTCAATACTGGGTGCACAGATAACGTGGGGTGGCAGAGTGAGAGAGAGATACAGATCGAACACATTGACTACGAATGACTAATGCCGAGATTTTGAGATCAATAGTTTGAACGGATGCTCTCTAAGATGAATGTTGAGTGATAATTTTAGCAGCGCGCGACACGGATGTCTTGGGTCTAGCATTATTTGATATACCATAATCATCTCTACTCTGATGCGCCGGTAGTCATTGGCATATAATCCTAGCGACTTCAGTTTCTGCGTGTATGAACACCGATTCAACCTCCTAGCCATTTTNGTGGACGCTCCAGCAATTTGGAATCACGTTGTACACATGGTTTCCATGCCTAGATCTAGCGAATATATGCTGATAGTAGACGGCGGAAAAGCCCTGAATTGAACCTGCCAAAGACCCCCTTAAGGAAACGGACAATCCTTACAGCTAAGTTCGACATCATGGTTGAGTGAGCAGCTTCAGTTAATTAAAATGCAATAATGATTGAGACGAGATCTAAATGCACGAAACAAGACAGTATCAGTGAGGCTCGTCATGTTCAGGGTCAATGAAGCATAAAAAAATTTAAGGGAGCCTTGAATTGCTGTTTCGATCTGGTTGAGTCTCATTAACAGTAGAACTCCATCGACCCAGGTAAGGCTCTTGAAACCGGGGCTTCACAAATAGAAAGGAGCGTTTACTACGCACTTGATCACACACTAACTAACAAAACCGTTTTCATTTTACCTCTGCACAACACATCACAACCCAGTTGAGCGAGTCGAATGCGAGCATCGCACTTAACCCATCTCAGTACAAACCTCCATGGCTCGGAACATTCCACATCCGCGCATGGATAATTTGTCTAGTTGCATTCCTAGCCTTGAACGGCGCTCACATCAATGAAACTAACTGGCGAACGTGTGGCATAATGTTCACAAGTGCTTGACTATTCATAAACAAAATTTGCTCTCACCCATCCCGCGTGCGAAGAAGATCTGTCGGTGCATCTGGTTCTTTCGTTCAGTCACCGCAGCTTTTCACCAAATTGTTTACATATTCGTTCAGGATATACATCTTCTTTTCCTGTTTTTTTCGTTCTATTGAGTATGTTACGATACAATTTGCAGGAACAGGAAAGTGGCCAATAGTATGGATACCCACTTTTTGACTACCAAGGAATGACATACAGGCCGACGCAAGTCAGATCAAAAACCGTGGCAAACCAGCTGGTATACTCTGTGTCTTATTACTTGCTTTTTTATTTATTGAATATACAACTGTATAGACAACATTCAGGATTGGGGTGGGTAGGCGTGGCCATGCAAATGCTGACTGGGAAGATGGGCGGCGATGGACCGGTTCGCACCCGGGACTTACGGGTCACAAATTGGTGACCCAAACACCGAGCCACCATTGCCCAGATCCTGATCAGAGTGAGCATTTTTAAGACAATCAGAGTACAATCTCAACAGAACGGTTTGGCCTTAACTGGTTTTCATGCTTCAGGGGAGTTCGGTTCCGTGTTGCAAGTTTTGGGATTAATGCACAGGGTGGAACCCTAGACGATGCCGGGATCATGGACAGAGTATGTCTGATTTAGAGTATCATGCTTAAATTAGCCCATTCGATTGTTCAGAGGCACCAGGCACTCTTGATGGTCTGGTGCCTGGTGCCTCTAAACGATCGAATGGGCTAATCCAAGTTTGATACTCTAAATTGACCGAGCCATTCACACAAGGTGATGACCATCGGTCATGCAGTTCAGGGGTAAGGGTTTGAAGTCCCGACCCGACTGATCGCGGTTCAAGTCCTGACAGGGACACGGAAAGTATTTCTGATGTTCACAATGTTCGTGAACTCGCGCACTGGACCGTTGAAACAGAGCTAGTTGAAAGGCAGTTTTAAAATAGGAATTACTTATAAGCCCATGCTTTTGTTGCCTTCTTTGAGATATATACACAGTTGAATCGTTTTTCGACGAGAAAAAAATCACAGAGTTCCAGGTATGAGATAACAGATACTATAGTCTTCAACGAATTTGCGTTTGTTTTTAGTGATGCAAGAGTGTGAGGTGTACCAGGGTTTCATTGAGGTTCCGCTTGAAAGATTTAATAGTTAGTGCACAAACGACGTGAGATGGAAGGGTGCTCCAAGTACTGTATACTCTGACTGTAAAAGAGTGGCGCTGACATTCCAATCGACATTTTGCAATTAGTAACTTGAAACGGTATAACCTAAGGGGTTTATTGTTCAACAACTTGAGCAGCTGCCGACATGGATGGTTTGGGTTCTGCGGTATTTGATACCACAAAATCAAGTCTCCGCGAATTTGTCGGTATTCATTTTGCTGACCAGTTAACAGCTTACAGACCCAATCAAGGAAAACACAAGTGTTGATGATTTCATGTGCATATTGTTCTAAGAACATATGCCCATCCGAATCGACGGCTTATGATTATTTTAAAAGTCTGTGGCTGGCAAATACCCTTGAAAATCAAAATCAATGCGGTTCGTTTGCTCCACTGAGTCCGAAACGACTACATGATAGTAAATAACTTAATAAGCACCATAAAATCGGTCCTGTTTCTCTGAACAAAAATTGGTTTCACACGCATTTGACAAAAAATTTCTCCAATTATAAGGATGCACAATTTGGTTGCTGCTGACGAGTGCAGACTGAATACGTTGGAGAACAATATCACGAAAACAGAAAACAAAATAAACGTTGCTAATACGAAAACAGAGTCATCAAAACTGTGAACTTACCTCAACCGTCTGATTGGCACATTCAACCAACAACGATTACAGTAAAAACGTCCAAACATTGTGAACTCAATCTGTGCCATGTTTACAGAAGTCCTTTTCGAAAATGCCTCAACGAACATCCGTTTCTGTGGTTTTTTACCCGAGTCATAAATGTCTGTTTTTGATCGTCACACGAAAGCACTCCTAACTAACGCCCTATTCGGTCCAAAGATCACGTGTTCGTGTCTGAAGTATCGAGCAAAAACGGTGAACTTGTATGACTATTTTTTCGACAAACTGTGATCTCTCCATCAAATTATATTTCAGATAAATATAATATATTATAACATAAGGGGTAAAGGTAATCTGTGCATTTCAGAGGGCAGCTCCCGAGATTATGTGAGGTGGTTAGATAGACAATACAGCGAGAGAAAGGTGGACCGGACCAGATTGTTTTTGATCTCATTTGGAATGATAACCATTCAACTGAGATCGAGATTGATGCAAATGAAACAGTAAGGATGACAACTATTGACATGGTAGTCTGTAGTGGAAAACGAATTGCTGAGCGGAACAAACCTAGTCGACGTATATGCATAATCAGGTCAGAATCTGATCTGTCTGTTTGTCACAGTCCCAGTGGAATACCTGTAAAACTGCGAGTTGGGGAATTGACCGAAGTTATCGGGGATGGATAAACTGATTTGTGAGAAATAAGAGAAAATGTATTCGTTCTTGTTCGAACCGCGCGAATATTCTCAAACGCGCTGGCATTTGCCTAAATGTTTCTTCAAAACACTACTCCCCACATTACAGTTATAATGAAAGACTATAACTTATCTCAATAAGATGCGCAATAAACACCGTACTGACATTGATCGAATGCGTATGATACCATCGCTTTCACCAAATGTCTTCGTCCCAGTGTTTGACCTGCTTTCTAACCTCATGCACTGGAATGAGCATTTGTGTTCACTCGATCAGGTGATAAGCTTTGCTTATGTTTACATCAGAGTACTTCCACAAGTTTGAATCTGGGATAGCACACTTATATAACTCCATAGTGCATTATTCTCTTATATCAGCTATACAGCAAGAAATTCAAAACTTCTCTTCGACCCTGGTGATGGTGACACAAAAAAACGCTTATTCTGAAGGTCATTTGTCATGAAATACCATATTATTCAAACGTATATGCAAACGTTACGCTATTTAAATAAGAACAAGTATTTTCACGAAACAGTGATCAGTTATTAGGACGAATAAAACTTTCATACCACTCTGCACCAAATATTTTTACAATTCTAGATTTTGCTTCTGAATTATCACAAATGTTAGCACTCAAAGTCGTACCTATCTAAATAGTAACACAAGCGAAATAAGATTGTTGAAGTAGTAGATAAATTTAGGAATTAATGGGCTTTACCTATGGTGAGCAAACGTCATTTGTGATATTGGGAACTAAAATATACTTTTTAATCGATAATCCTCTCAACCGAGTTTGATGGACACCTGTAAATCGATCTCCCTGAATATCTAGAGTTTAAATTGCAAATATTTTCGTGATTCGTGATTTTCGGAACTTCTGTTCCCGTTTCAATTCAAATTTCACACAGACAGGGTGATGCTCCGGTGTGTTTCAAATAAGAATTTTTCTACAGGTCATGGGCAAAAGAAATAATAAAGTAGATTGGGTCATTACTCAAATCATTTTTTGATTGGTGAGTTCCAACGGACCAATCAAATCGGCTTAATCGCGTGTGATACAATGAGCAGGCTAAATGAATATTCCGAATGAAAGTCTGCTATAATTGACATCGAGGCAGCGCACGCCAGATGTGCAACTCCCATCCCACCCTATGTACCTGTCTGTCTATGTCAAAGCGCTCATGTGATAATTAAGCTAGGCCAAGCCATTGTGTGTGGCTGTTGTGAAAATAATTCAATTCTGTGATCACCTAAGCTCAGTATCATCTCTTGTGCACGCCATCATATTTACTCGCTCACTAACTCAATCTTTTTGTTGATACATACCCTTGTCGTCGCGTTAACGAACACGCCCAGAAATGTCATTGACAACAGCTGGCAAAGAACGTTCCGTCAAGAAAGAGCCCACATATTCGACAGAGTGTCAGTTGCATGGATTAGAATTTCTGAAAGCATACGAGTCCACCGGTCGAATGACGACCGACTCAGATGCAGCAACATCGGCTACCAGGGTCGGACAGATTGCGAGCGGCTCCGACATTCAGGCTAAGACCGGAATCGAACTCATGCACGAGTTCGTTCCGATCACATCACATGGAATAATGCCGGGTTCTTCTCCGAATGTGGTCAGTACGAAAGGGGAGAAAATAACACAGTCAAACAGTTGCACCGGGACTCAGTCATCTTTCCTGCCTGGCACATTCGATCAGACAATCATCAATCCGGTTGGTCGATTGGAATCATTCGGTGCCACCCAGGCGACGCAACGTAAACAACGAAACGCGAAACCTTTTATTCATTGTCCAAACAATCGGAGACACTTGGTTCCGGACTCCCACACGGTGCAAATGACCGATAATGCTATCAGACAAACAGGAATGTTTTTCACTAATCGATGTAACTCTCAATCCCTCGAGGAACTGACCCCAATGGAGCATGTCTGTCCGCACCAACAGCAACAACTACATATGCCGACGTACAGTGGTGGCCTTCTGACCTCCGATGGCACGTGTACCGTACGGCGTGGTCATCCCCACCCAGACCCATTGGTTTCCGCGAGCTGCGCGTTGAATCAGAGTTTTGATATGGAAAATTCGCTAAGNCTAAGCAATTCCGAGCCCCGGCCGGACTGTGGTTTGCATCCGTCTATTGGTTTATTGCCACGCGAATCGAATAAAAGTCCGTTTCGATCGAATAATGCCGATTTTGTCCAGCACGGAGATCACATGTCGCGTGCATCGCATGTTTGTAAAATGTGAGTATCTAAAGCTAGTTTCTTGTCGTGTTCAAGTTTTGTTTTAAAAACGGATCACGTATCTCACGGCTGTCTGGAATTCTTCCATTTCATGATGAAGATACAAACTGGCAAACAAGCTCCTTTTCATTGTGTCCCAATCAAGTCATTAGAACACAATATACATTTGATTATAGTAACAGAAAAGGATTTAAAAGTGAACAAATGAGAAAGTAATTAAAGTATTCAACTATTTGTATCACAACTGGACCCCAATTATCATTTGCTCCGATGTTTCATGACATGGGAGCTTGAGTGTTTGCGAAAATTGTCTTTTTAGCTCACATACAGGGGAGAGGGGGAGGCTTGTGAAGACGAATGCTAAAAGCCTCCGCTATGCCTATAGCACACGAAACCGCACGTGTCTGTAGACCGTCCCCTTTAAACTCTATACAAGGGTCAGAACGCCTCAGTCGCGTTTACGACGTGATTAGTGACGACAAGGTGAGACAAACACGCGGAAAACCAGCTTGTTTGCCAATTTGTTTGTTCTCATTTATACGCTCCGTGGGACTGTTTTGAAACAATCCTTCCCGTCCAACTTGGAATTCCCCCCTGCCCCACGGAATCCACAAACCTTTTTGTTCAGTTCATATGGCTTCACTTTGGTTTTTGTTTATCCTGCTGGGTTGTTTGTTATTACATGCCAACTCGTTTTTCCAGTCATTGGTGTTCTCAGGCACATTGCTGATTTTGTTCATAATTGCCGGTGACTCATACTGTGACGGTCTGAATCACACTGGGTTTGGTCTGTGGTACACGCTATCTGTCAACTCTCCAGTTGACCATCAAATGTGACCTCAAGCTGACTGAGGGACAACCTTTGTAATTAGGTATTCAAACCTGAACTGGGAACAGATAAGGTACGATGTGCACCAACACGCAAGCATAGAGTTTATCGTGCTGCACGACTTAGGCATTAGACTTTGGCTCGTATTAATATCAAGTATATTCGTACTATACATATGTTACATATTATTCTTACTCTAAACGAATCCCTTTGTCTGTAAGCACTAAAAAGTCTCGCTTAGTACTGCAAGAGTGATGAATCGATTGAAGGAACTCATTCAACAGCGCTCGAAAATCATTCTTCCCCAAAAATTAATAAACATCTTTTTACATCCTTTTTTTATTTATCAAGTCTGCAAATATACAGTCAACATTCAGGGAGAGTGTCGCGGCCATACAAAGGCTGCCTGGGGAGTACAGAATTAAGGAAGACGGGAGGGTGGTGGAGTGGTTAGAACCTGGGACTTACAGGTAACAAGTTGGTGCCCTAACCACTTGGCCACCACCACTCAAGCTCGCTGTCTGCCTAACGATGTTAAACTGTAGTTCTGAAGGTATGTAGACTTCAATTATGGGCTCTAGAGTTAAAACAGTAAATATGTTACCCGATTCGAGGTCTGCTGAGGATCACATGGCAACGCCCTCTGGCATGTGAAGGATTACCCAGTTAAACGCATACAGTCTTTCAAACACCGACAGAAGTTCACTAAGTTACGGTATTGTGAATTTTCTTCAATTAGGAATTAACTTATTGTTAATCACGTCATCAACTAAGTGCACTTGGTTTCAATAGTGTAGGCTGATTTTTGCACGAAGTAACAATATAAGTTTGTTAAAACAGCTGAGTGGTAACCTGTAAAATTAATTAGTCTTAACTGTTCTTCACTTATTGTACGTATCGTTCGGCTTAATAACGCCGGTGTGGCAATATGTGGGACAATAGGACGGTGGATGATTGCTCGGAATGGTTATGCATTACTGGGCCTACTTGGGAACAGTTGATTGGGGTTTTCTCCGTAGGCAGGCATCAACGGTTTACATTGTCTACTATTTTCATATTTTGGGGATGTGAGAACTCTTCACTGGCAATTGATTTCCGACGAAAACGGGTATCAATGTCGCATAAGGTTTGTATTAGCTCTGTGTGCATCGGGCTTTGGGCATGTTGTCATCGTATAACGGCTGACCTGAATTGGCAATACACTGACTGGGTGCGTCTTTATGTGAGTCTGGAAGATGAGTGGAAAGCCGCCTTATCCATGAACCTGCAGGTTGTTTATGCATTTATCAAGCATTCCATCGCGTATAAGTAGACAATGGACTCAGCATGGGAAACAGTGTTTACGCTCGCGGAAAGCCAGACATATCTCCACAGAAAATGATTGCATTGATAGATGCATTTGTTTCACACTCACATTGGAAATGTGAACCATTTTGGGGCATTTTTACCACAAATGTATTGTATGCATTACGGCTTGTCTCAGTTGTCTAGGGTGCAATCGAGCGTACGGAGAGGACGATAGATTCGCTTTGACAAGAGCAACTAACTTATCCATACCGTCAAAATACCCACTTGGACCTGGGTTACGTACATGCATGCCGGACCTGAACATTTCATGTCATCCATTAAAATATATTGACGGAATGGTATAATTATGAAAAAAGCTGGTGCCCTCCAACACGGACAAATCTTGTGACTCGGGTTTCGTTTCCACCATGTTTTGCATTCCGCGGACTGTTCATTGAGAACCCACCCTCCCTCGGCCCCTTTTGCGTCAGTTGCACGAACGACTGTGCTCATTGAAAAAAAGCATTGCTTCACACCGGAGATAATTTTTTTTTCTCTCGTTTATTAAAGTGCAGAATTTCTATTTTTGTTTACAATTATTATTGTCCACTGTAAAACTCGTAAACTGCTGAAAATTCACCTTTTGGGTGCATAAAGCTTTTCTTGACTTGATAAACAGAATTACATTCTGTGGTTGTTTAATTCAAGCACAAGACAGAAGCATTGGTAGAAATACGCAAGGGAGGAGGATTGAATGGGAGAGGAATTGGCGTTAGAGTGTCACATTTCAGCTTAGACCGTGAGAAAAATCAGTGTGTTGCGACCATAGACTGATTGGATTAATTGAGGTGATCACAAACGGGAAGTATTTCTCCTTGTGGTGAGGTAAAGGATGTGTGCACACGTTTACCTATCCCACGTGCTACTGTGAACGGCAGAGAATAGGAAAATGCTTCAGAAATATTCATTTTTACCCCAAGCAGTTTTGGCAGACGTTGTTAGTGAAAAAGCATCATTCCTGGTGCATTCGTGCTAAGCTAAACTCTGCTAGTTTGTGGGAAAAGGATTTCCTTGATATACCGTAGCAATGGGTCAAATTTTAACGAGAAGACGAGCTGGCTGGGAAAACGTCTATTGATCCAATTCAAAAACAAACAGTGTCTGCGTTCGATTGTATACAGTCAATTCTGAACCGCGCGGCGGGATGATTCATGCCTCTTTCTGTGGATCATTCGTTGTTGGTCTTGGTCCGCACTTGGCACGTACGTTGCCTCTTCTTCCGCGTGCCATTCCGACTGGTTTGACTGGATCGCGGCGCGAGATGTGTTGATCGACAGCTCCGACGTTGTGACAATCGGTGGGTATCTTTCCCGTTAGATGCGGATTGTCTTTCGGGCTGTGATTGTCGATTCACTCGTTTCGGGTGGCAGTCAACATTGTCTCGCGGGGCACTTCCCGCCGCTGCGTCTCTGCGTCTGGTCGGATGGGCCCCATTCTTGCTTCGGTCGCTAGCCAGGACTCTCTTTGAACTGCCTTCCATCACAAAATGATGGCACATAAGTTTGGTTTTTACCGCCCAAAATATGGGACTATATCCGCGTAGCTCAGGAGAAACACAGCGAGCAGTAAGAAATGCATTGACGAAATTCCAAGCAGCAAGCAGCAAGGACAATACCCCAGTGAAGGTGTTCACATCCACATTGGCCGGAAATTGCCGGTCAGGTGTTGAATTGTCTCAAGGGAAAACCGTCTGTTTATATACGAGCTCACGACAAGTTGAGGCGTAAAGTTCTGTTAGCACATTACTGAAGCGTAAAATATGACAATCATGGTTTATTCTCTTATAGATTAATTCAGCTATTCGATAACTTATAAAAACATTAAAAAAGGGTGGATTTTGAAAGTCTTTGTGATTGTGCTCACCATGTTTTAACAAATATAGGTAGAGAAACAGAAATTATGTAAAACGCAAAACCTTTGTTGCACTGCCATCAGCATCTAATCATATTTGTACAGACAACGCACACCATTCACAAGTTCAGATCAAATTGATTTGACTCAATTTATCGGAAAGGCTAGGAGATTTTGATAATTTTAAAAACGTATCAATTATTTATTTCGATGTGAGTAATGGAGGATTTGATACAACTTCAAAGAGGAAATTGGTAGTCTATGTGGCAAATGAAGCGTGAACTGAAAGGCTAGGAAGCACTGGACAGCTGTATCCATGTGGTTGACTCTCATCAGCAGTGCGAATCCATCGATCCAGCTGTGGATCGAACCCAGAACTTCATGGGCAGAACGCAAGCACACTATCCACTCGGCCACCGGGCAACTGATCGGACCGCTTCTCATTTTTCATTTAAAATTGAATCAAATCCTCCTATATTCACATGAAATAAAAAGTCTGGTTGTGATTGTTTCCAACCGAGTCCTAACTTCGGTGGATGGTGCTGACATGAGCGAGGTCTGTGGCCCGAAACGAGNNNCAAAATGGGTTGCGCTATATCGTGTAAATGGAAAATGAAAAGCAGTCTGATCAGCTGCTCGGTGGCCGATAGGGTCTCGGGTTCGATCCCCAATTGGGTCGATGGATAGGTACAAATAACTGGTCAAATGGGCCAGAAACAGAACAAGAAACAGCATGTCTATGCTTTTATTGGAATGAATTTTATAGCTTCAGGAGACAAATATCGCAATTATTGTCCACTGTGTTATCACGGAACTCAAGGTAGTAAAGTGCTAAATCAAAGCTGATTGGTTTACAAGTGCAGAGCTGTTTGGGCAATTCATTTTACTGTAATCTCTCTATTTGAAGCACTGTAGTAGTTACTCATGTAACACGAACGTGGTGTCTCGTGCGGGGTTCACGGACCAAACAGAAATCG